CCTCGCCAGGTCCACCCAACATATGATCGTCCAACATTATAGTTAAATAAAGATCAACGATCATTTCATCAAATCATCAAAAAACTTGCAATGTTCTTTGTTATGTTTTCATTATTCAGTGATTTGCAACAGATTCATTTTCACTTATTTCTCATATATATCACATTTATTAGGTACATTTTGTAACATCAGCTTCACTTAAATAACTCTTCAAGGTCCATACAAAAAGTAAATAGATTATAACTATAATATAGGAAAAATAATAACCGAAGTACTTTTGTGAAGGGCATACAGCATTCTTCAAAAAAGTCTCTTTAGCTAACGCTATCGTAGGGCACAAGGTGGCTTTAGTATAGTAAAACCTGCCGGCCACACCTACAAATCGCATTTTCATGACAATCCTGTGCCGATTGTACATTTTTGCGCTAGTACATAAGTAAGAATTTGACAAATCAAATTAAGGTATATTACTATCCATGATTTGGCAACATCGCAACTAGATGAGAGAATATGACAGTGACGGTGGTGTAGTGATGGGAATAATTATCTGAAATAAAAGAAATGACTACTTAACAATGAACTATTTTCATCATTAAAATAATGCAAAATTGCATTATTGCGATGAACAGCATCACAGTAACTTACAGTGTATGTTATATTAATATAATTTTGAACAATCTTTTGTATAAACAAGAAGAAAACAGCTTATAAAGCAGTATTCTATACCACAGTATTAGAATCCTAAATGCAACTTTGAAGTTCTATAAAATAGCAAGCAGAGGGTTCCTTAAAGAAAAAATGATATTTTTCGTGCAAGTTACATGCTAATCTTTCATTTTAAAATAAGAAATGAAATATTTGCGATATGCGCTAAAGTATAGTTCAGCCGTCAGATTGTTGTAAACAAGCAAACTTCAGAAGGCAGCGTACTTTTCCGATTTTGGTTATGTTATAATTTATGTAATTACATTGACAACTTGTGACACTTGAAATAGAAGGAGAGATACGGAAATGTTTTCCTTGACATTGTCTTCCTTGACATTGTCTGGTTTCTGGGCAACCAGGACTGACAGATTCGACTAACGTACATTAGACCCGTATCGTCAGTCGTCCCTACAATTGTAGGGCGCGTTTATGGCCTCCTTGATCGTCATACTTCTTTCTCTCCTTCAAAAATTTCTAGATTACACTTGTCCCGTGTCAGCGTCAGCGCTCTCCTATTGTGAAGATACGTTTTCTTTTTAAATTGTAGGAAATTTCAGGCTGATAAAACATGATATAACTCAAAAGCAAGCACAATTTGATACAAATAGATGTTTGTGACATAACCTTAAAATAGAGTTCTGACACGGGAAGTAGAAAACTATGATAATCAAGGAGGCCATAAAGGCGCCCTACAATTGTAGGGACGATGTAGGGACGACTGACGATACGGGCCTTACAGTGACTACGGACCGCCCAGCCAAACAAATACGAATAGTACGGAAATGTCGACTTCCTATTAACAAATCTAAACATTTTATAGTTGAAGTGTGACTTAAGCCACTGATTGCTATTGACCATTATAAAGAAGTTTGTTAGAAAAAGTAAGTACTCTTATTTCATGAGAACATTTTATAATACTTGGCTATGATAGTGATAATATAAGTACATATAAAATGCAGTGGTGTAGTAGGTATGGTACGTGTTACGGGGCTAGGAGATTTACGAGGACATGGCCAATACCATCGTGATGACTGCCCTTCATATGCCATTGTAAAATATTATGTTGCTTGCTTCAAAACAGGAAAGTTATCCATTCAAGATGATGAGAGAGACCTGGAAGACCCGTTTCAGTGTCAACTCCAGAAAATGTCGATGCAGTTCATGATTTGATATCACCAGACCGTCGAATTGGAATAAAACGCATTCATAACGATATTCATGTTGATTTGGACATGAAAAAAAATCTGCTAAATGTATTCCCAAATGCCTGAATGCGGATAAGAAGAGATCACAAGTGGAAACAACCGGTGCAATCCTTGCTCGATTTGATAAAGACCCGAACTTTATGAAAAGTTTAGAGACAATCGATGGCATTAAAGCACTCTGGGTCGCCAAGGCCTAAGAAATTTAGCATAGGAAAAGTGCTAGCTTCAGTGTTTTGCGACCGTCGTCATTTTCACTGATTACCTAGTCAAGAGGAAAACCATAACGGGGGAATATTATGCATCATTATTGTCAAAGATGTGCGAAAAAATTGTGGAGAGAACACGCGGCAATTTTTGCAACGGGTTGTGTTCTTGCAATGCGCAAATTTTCTTTGAGCGACAAGGTGATAGAAGCTGTGGAAATTTGTATTGCGGACCTTTAGGATCGCTGAGTTAAAATAAAATATTTTCTGCTCAAAATTTTCAGTGTTTCTGTAATAGGTTAAGTATATATCAATATTAATATTCTTCATTAAAAAATTTCGGTTTCATTCACATTTTACGATTTTGCACGTAGGATATAAATCATAAACAGGAGTGGATATATTCAGACGTTAGCTTGCATGGAAGATCTACCAGCAGCGATAACTAAGTTATTCCAATGATATAAAAAAAAGAAACCAGCAAACACCAGACATATGCGCACTGCATCCCGTATCCGCAGAATCCAGCTGAAATTAATTGCCGAAAGCTTGATATGCCATTATTGCTGTGCGGAATTTCATTTGGAAGCTGAACGCCGTTTTGCTAAACGCCAATGCCTTGTTGCCAAATCGAATGAACGTCATTCTATACGCACAAGCAATCGATCTCCAATTCTGCCTTTGTTTTTTTAGTTCAATATTTGGAATTTATTACTGCTGTGATACGTCTTTTTTTAATACCAATGCAGCCGTGTAGGCAGATGCAGGAATACCGGGGCACCGCACCTGTTAATCCGATTTTTGAACTGTTTAAGGTTTGGATAACTGGCAAAACTTCTATAAGGAGATTGTACCACAATCTCGACACCACAACGAAGACGCCAAACTCATCGCGCGTCAGGATCATGGGTATGAGGAGCAAAATCTAGCGGTAGAAGAAAGGCAGATCGACGAGTGTCCTTCAGTGCGAAAGGATCCCGAGACTGTCCGCTAGAGATGTGTCACCGATCAAAAGACACAAACAGCACCGAGTATGGACAATGTAGTCGCAGTGGCAGCACCCCAAACATGAGAGCAGTACTCGAGGTACAGAGTGAGGAGGTTATGTGGAGAATAGTAATTCGCAGGCCTAGTTTTTTGCCAGCAGCTGCCGTGATTGACGAGATCAAGTCCTCGGTGATCTGGACGAAATTAACGGCTCTTTAGTAGAACTCTCGTCAGAATGGAAGTCGCTGTTCTTCTCGCCAGTTCAACGGTAGAGACCGACTTGGCACTTTAATTATGTAGAGTGCTAGAATCAGCAAAGCTGTGAAACTGATTGATCGTATAGGATATGTAATAGAAACAATGCCAGATTCCTAGGGAACACCCGGGTTGACATTGTGTGATTGAGAGAATAACATGTCAATTACGACGCAACGGATACCTTGCGGCGAGACAGGAAGCATGGCAAACCTCTCGAAGGCCATATGTTAGAAGATTGCATAAGAGGGCAGCATTCCTCAGCTGATCGAAAGCTTTCGCGATATCAGGAGCTACAACATGAGACTCACCACATGACCGGATATGAGGGTAGTTGGGAGCTTTAACTCCAAACGCATAATGTATGCCCACATATATCTGAACCGCGGCAACCACAGTTTAGCAAAACCAGATATCCTACACGCCCATTGTCACGCAAACAATGACTTTGAGCTCTTCGTTGCACTTCGTGTGGTGTGTAACTACAGAATCTGTGTCATAGCATTGCCAACCGCGATTCACGCCGTTCCATCCATTCCGTTCATTTGTTTTCGATGTTATTGTTAAGTTTGTTATCGCGCATCGCATGGGATATTGGATATCGGGCAGCTCGCCTGGATTATTCGTGATTTCGGATAGAAATGGTGTTTTGATTTGATTCGTGGAAGAATCGGAAAACAAAATATTGGAATTGGACGTAAACATCGAGTGAATCGAGAAAGACCATCTTTCGTAAAATGCATGGCCGTTTCACGTCCCACGCTAATTGGCGAGGAAGTGTTTTAGTCGCGAAACATTCAGTGATAACAAAACAACAAAAAGCAGGTGAATTATTTCTGTTAGTTAAACTTTTGACACCTCTATAACTCGAAAATTACCGCCCAGATTTTGATAGATGGTTACTGGCGAAGATAAAAGTTATGCGCGTGGGAAAAAATACGAGGTGTCTAGATTTGTTTTGACAGTGCGAGAGGTATGCCCAAATTTCCCAAAATCAAAATGGCAGACTCTGAGCATCAATCAACTTTGAAATTTCTATTTCACGGGCGACAGGCGAAACGGTTTGATATATTTTTATATTTGAGGTGTACTTCGATTCATCTTGGCGTCACAATAAATTCTTTTCGGCCTTTTAAGTTTTCGAAAATCGCTCAAACTTCGTTTTTATGATTCAGAGGATCCTGATCATTTAAGAAAAAAATAGGGGTAACACATTTGCGGTTTGTAGGGAGGATTTTTAAGCTTTCCACCTTGCTAATTCTATGCACCTATTAGATATATTTTACACGGTCTTTTTCAATGTATACTTTTTAATTACTGTTAGTTACTACACTATACATTACTTTAGATACAAACGTTACTGGGATCTAATGTAGCCAGTACTGCCAGCGCCAGCAGCAAGTGACTTGGTTCTTGGATGTAAACTGGGTGGAAATGAAATGATGCGAATATCGTTAGGCTTAGGCAACTTTAGATACTCTTCTATCAAACGAGTTGCGGACTGCGGAGCTTTAGGTTGGCAATGTTTGTGTACACCTGTACACTTTTCATTTGACTTTGAGAGCTAGCGGTTGGCGGGTTGTTACTGGTTTGGACGTTGCCGTACAAGCTCGAGCAATAATATAATTATTATTTGTACAAAAATATGGAATCATCCGCGTCCGGTTCAGGAGAATCGCAAACTCAAAAAAGAAGTGTTATTTGGATGCATTTCACCAATATATCGGAAGCTAATGCAAAGTCTAATCTTTGTAAAAATATTTATTCGCATAAAAATGGAAACATTAGCAATTTAAGGAAGCATTTGAAAACTAAACATCCGACTCTTTCATTGGAAGGAGAAAGGGCAAAACGGCGGGTGGAAGACGAAAATATGCCTAGGTGCAAAAGGAACTTAGTTTCAGGTATGTTTTATTATTATAAGTATTTTGTTGAACACCATTTACAGTGGAGTAACCAGACTGTTAAGTAGGACAGCGGAGTAACCAGACTGTTAGGGCAGGGGACGCTACTCAACTAAAGTAAAGAGTGAGGAGAGTGGTTCCTCCACGGTACCCATCTGGTTATGCCACTTGTTAAATACTATTTACAGCGTACAGCCAACGAACGAGACGTCACACAACGACGAGTTTAAAATATAAGTACCTTCTACGTATCAAATATCAAAAAAAATTAATAGGCAAGGCATTAGACAAAAAATAATAATTGGATCAATCCCAAAGTAATAATTTGATATAATATTTAGAATGTAGGTTCTAAACGAAATGTTCAAAGAGTAACTAAACTAACGAGTCCAAAGTTCGAAAGTAACGAGTCCTTACAGGTCCTAAAAAGTAACGAAACTTTGCATCACTATGCCGCATCTAGCTGGTGTTTGGTGACCGGCTTCGATATTTAGGAGAGGCAACGTTGCCAGATGGACTACTGGTAGGGCAGGGGAAGTCTGACTATGGACTAAGTGCACGGACCTCTTTTACTGACTTTTTTCTCGGTCTAGCTTATGCTAAACAATCAGCGTTGCGCGGGAAGTGCAGAATCAACCTACCTGACGTCATTTTTATCAATTAAGATACCTCGTAAGATATCTCTTAAAATTTGATCCTACTGTAAAAATGTATATGATATAATTTGTTGTAAATTGAAGGTAGATTATTAATGTAAAAGAACTTATAAGATATTATTAATATTATTATTATAATTATATTATTAATAGTGTCCTTTACCAATTAAGTATGTTCATCCGGATACCTCAAGGAATAGCTCTACCAATTATCGAAACTACACGAATTATTTCGTACGATCGACAATTTTCAAGCTAATTCTCTGAGATCAATCATCTAAATTCCAACAATGATATAAACAGTGTTTTTTGGGGGTAGACCAGGTGTTATAGATGGGATTTGCGTCCATTACAACCGAAAAATCCTGACGTGTGGAAAACGATGTAACCTAGATTCGTGCCGAAATCTGCGGAAAGATTAAAATGTAATCGGCGGTAGGTGGGAATTTCGACGGCATGCAAACGTAGTAAACGATCTGGTGAACGCAGCCTTTTCGCCGAGCAGTGCTGTTCCTGGAAAGCAATAAAAAGCGCTGGAAACTGGAAATCGCGAGGTTTAGATGATTGCACATCGGATTTATGTCCGAATCGAATCCGACTTCTACCGCTCAAGTGCCCTATATTCACTGTACGATATTGCTACTGCTGCAAAACCACTTACATTTGCAAAACGATAGATCCAGTTCATAGAGTCTTGTTAGTACTGGTGTTGGAGCTGAGTCAAACCTTTCCTTTTAGTGATTCGATTATCGGAACCGATTTCTTCGACTTGTTCACGTTCCTTGAATATAAATGCAATTCCAACATATAATCGGTGTTATTGAGCGTTATGATATCGCGGTAGGAATCGAATCCGATTATCTCGATTCCTGAACCCGGACGCTATAGTTATTATACCTATATTACGTAAAAAAACTATATAATGTAAAAAAAACACGACAAAACGTCCACTTGCTAGCTAGATAGTTGCAGCGTGCAAACAGCTCATTCCGCGTTTGCTCGCTAAGAAAGAGCGCTGTGAGCGTCATCTATGAAGGAATGACTCAAGGACACGCTCAATGACCATGTTGCAAGTTCCCTAGCATGCTTTGTTGATTGCAGAATGCCGAGATAGTCTGTGTATTTGTGTTACTCTTTCTGAAGACAGGTTATGTTCAAAGTTAAAAAATAAGATTTTCCCCGTTTTTTTTGGGGTTTAAAAACTCTGAGAAGCATTACGGGAAATCACCAAAATTAAGCCACATCACAGAAAAATTAGGAATGACGCATCACACAAAATATTTTCGCAGTGCCTCACATCTAGGCGCTAATCGGTATTTTCTAGTTGTTCGCAAAATAAATTTCTTAAATGTAGTAACTTTTTCACGTTTCGAAAATATTCCTGTCTATAGCATATTTTCCCACCTGTAAAATGAAATATACTTCACAAACCAGGGATTTTCCTTTCTTATCTCTCTCATTTTTGAAATTTACCAAATTTGTATATGTGCGCACTAATTTTTAGCTTTGCATACATCTTAAGTAAGTAAACCAGTGGAATCATTACTAACGCATATTATTAGTACACTTATCCTCACTATGCACGTATGCACTGCCGTTTCCTTCCAGCTACTGTATACAACTTACAGCATAGACTTCCAGAAATGCCATCTCGGAGCAGATGTTACATCACATCAGAGCCAAACATTGGTAGCTGAAGCGTCATGACGTTTAGGCCCCACGTACAGCTACAGAACGAGTGCACATCAAGTGAACAAAACCTACATAATGTCACCAAAAACCTATATAATATCAACAAAACCGACATAATGTCACTTTTCAAGATACTCAATACCCTTGCGGGTTAACAGGCTTCTGTTAGGAATCGGATTTTGCTCTTGATTTTAAAGACTTCAAATGGTCAACGATCTACTATCAGTAGCACCTCAAATAGTTCTTTTTAGCGACTCGATTCCATTGTTTCGATTCTGCTCTCGGCACCGATACCTTCGATTCGTTCACGATTCCTCTTTTTAGCGACTCGATTCCATTGTTTCGATTCTTCAATCTCGATTCCGATTTCCGCAATGCCAACATATTATCGTTTTTCGTTTTTTTTAATGATACCCCTTCGCAAGTGTTACGTCGATTGGAGCTTTTTGACACTTTTATACAATGTCTAATTCGAAATTGTTTATAAGTTGGGCTTGCACATTTTTGTAACAATCAGTGAGTTCAGACTTGAACTTGAAGCACTTTGTCACTTGTCGTTCGGTTTTGGAAGCCCAATGGCGGAGGAATAATTTAAGTTTTTCCTTACCACTGTTTCCGTTAGAGATGATTTTACAACCTGAAATTCTTTACAGTTTTTGTCTATCACTAAACCCTTTTCATCTATTCTTCAACTTCATTTAAAGCTATCTTAACTCTCTCGGTTTCGCCTCCAGCGATACATTTAACATTAAAATGGCAACCTAGCAAGAATTCAAAAGCAGTCCATACAAGATTACTTGAATTCGAGGATTATCGTCCCTTTCTACGAGTCGTTCAAATACAAACTGGTTTTAAGAGCTGGTATTGAGGAATCATAATCAAAACGACCGGAATCAAAATCGAAATAATCTGAATCGGAAACGGAACCACCTGAATCGGTTCCTTCAATTTCCTCTACGGTATTGTTAATTTGGAATGAGTCGTTTAGAGCCGACACAGCTCTAATTGGTATTGAATGGTTTTTATGTAACTACTGGAACTTGTTATGTGGTAGTTTGCCTGATCTATCTACACTGTTCGATAAATCCAATAGGGTCAATGGTAGTTTGACAGGTTAAAGCAGAAAACAATTTATTTAATTATTTCTATAACCAATTATGCAAAATAGAATTAGACTGGAATATTATACTGTGAAAAATTCTGATACATATTCATTGACCTAATCAAAGCATTTGACCTGGTGCATGAACTTCTGCTGTTACCGAAGTTAGACCGCTACGGCATTAGAAGACTCCCAGTTCAATGGTTCCACGACTATTTGACTGACAGGCAGCACTATGCTCAGATAAATGACCGTCGGTCGAATAGATGTGGAACTGAATTGGGAGTGCCTCAGAGGTCCGTACGGGGACCATTGCTGTACATCATCTTTGTAAGGACTTCAGTATCACAAATCAAGTCATCTGCGCAGACGATTCATCGATTCTTATCAATACAAGTAATATAATGTCTGAATGAAAGGCTTTCGCGGCCATCATCCAATATTATTTGGTTGGTGTTTTGGATTGTTCGGCTGCCGTGAAACATTTTTATTTAACGTTTCGCCAACACGAGTGGTTGGCATTTACTTAGTTGAGTAGCTCACATGACTCCAAACTGTGAACATCTTCTGAAGATGTCAACCACTCGTGTTGGCGAAACGTAAAGTAAAAATGCTTTACGACCGCTGAACAACCAAAAAACCAACCAAATAATATTTAATATAAGGTATCTGGCGCAAAATGTTACTGAAGAGTTGCAGAATGTACAGCGATGGTTCTTAGATAAAGGACTTTAATTATTAAAGTTTGGCCACATAAATCTCAACTTTGATAGCAGCTTCTTGGTTATATCTTTGAGAGAATCAATAGAACATGTCAGCGCTAAAAATGTTTGGGAATACAGATTGAGCGATGCTTTAAATGGAAGCGACACATTAACCAAGTTTGCAATAAAGTTGCTTCAACATCTTATTGTCTTAGTCAGCTGCGATTTCTGATTGAAAGACATTTGCTGATAACATACTAGAGAATCGTCCGATTGTTTGTAAGTATAGATAGGAGAACAAGTTCAGGCAGTATATACCGTCGAAGCCAAACAAATATGGTATCAAGATTTTTGCACTGGTAGACGCCAATATGTTTTACATTTTAAATTTAGAAGTGTACGTAGGGCAACAGGCCGAGGGGCCTTATCGACAAAGCAATGATCCTAAAAGAATTTGTTTTGCGAATGATTCAACCAATATCTAAAACAGGAAGAAACATCACCACAGATAACTGGTTTACCAGTTATGAACTAGTTGATATGTTGCTACAAGATCATAACTCAAAGCTTGTTGGCTCAGTTAGGGAGAATAAAAGAGAACTACCAGCAGTATTCATAAATACAAAATTTCTTCCTGTTAATTCAAGTATGTTCGGCTTTCAAAAAATAAAACTCTTGTTTCTTATGTACCTCGAAAGGGTGAAAAGGAAACGAGGGTAGGCTGGCCTTAGACGCTCGTCGGCGCTACTTTAAAAGAGGAAAGAATGACTACGGGTGCGTACCGAAGTAAATTTTTATAATAACAGAGTCGGATTCCGATTAGCGATCTAGCCTGTAAATCGTTTCCTATTTTGGTACTCAGCAAGTGATCATTTAGTATTGTTCTACCCTTGTTACTGTTCGTCGATATTATGTTGTTGAATTGTTGTGCTGTACTCTTGATGGTGTGATATGCGACAATTTTAATTACAAATGCAGTGAGTTTAATTCGTGATGCGGACAACAATAGTGTGGAGCAGTTCAACTCTATAATCGCAAAATACATTGGGGTAAGCGAATAAATTATTGCAAGAAGATGTCATACCATAGAAGATGTGCTGCAGCTGTAGTGAGCCACAATACTGAGCGGCCTGTCTAGGTGGTCCAAATAAATTTGCGTTCTAAGCTTAGTCCAACCTCGCATATCACTAAGATGGAACAACGACTCAAACGCAAGAATCTTGAAAAGAAACTCAGACCAAAAAAAGCTAATATGAACATAACTAACAATTGGGATAGCAATTCCAAAGAAAATGAATAGTTTTATGGCGAATTCTGTCTAAAACCTGACATGAACGACATTGATTTGGAGGTTGTTAAGCAAGAATTTTTAGGGAAACTTAGAAAAAGTCACGACGAGATTTTGCAGATCGAACAAGTCACCAAATCACAGGACTACTTTGTGGCGTCTTCATCGGAGGATGAGGTTAACAGCGTCTCGATTTGGTGAAGTTTGTAGAAGAAGGCAGACAGCAAGCTGTAAAGTTCTAGTAAACACCATCATATATCCAACAGAGTTTTCTAGTAAGGCAATAAAAAAAGGCAATACAAAAATCATGGGACAAGGCAGTTCAATCTTGTGGTTTGTCTATTGATCGCACACATCCATTTCTGGCAGCATCACCTCCATCTACCTATTACAGTAGACAAGACATAAGATATTTTTATGACCCTCGTACAATTGTTACCATCTACAACATGACCCTTGTAAACATAATTGTGTTCATTGACATGAATAAACGAATTTGAATTTGAGTTCTTGAATTTATTTTAGGAAAGATATAAAATTATTGGAATACATTTTTTCTTAGTCGGAACGCACCGCCGCGTCGCTTGGACTGGCAGGACGAAACAGTAGATGAATTTCGCCCAAAAACCGATTTGCAGTTCACAGCCTACGTTTCATTTTTATTAAGTGAATGAAACTCTTGCAGCGCGCTAAAAACAAAGTCCACGGGGTGCCAGCAATCCACTTTTCGATTTTATCCACTAGGATCTTTCATTTCAACCCACCATAATTCTTGCGCAAAGACAACATTTTGTAAAAAGCTCTGATAGTACCCTAGGCAATTATGTCCTGCTTATATCCAGAAAAACATCACAAACTGCAGGACACAAATTGAAGGTAACGGCGAAATGGATACATTTCACGGGACATGAAATTCAAATGAAAATGCAGTTATAAAATCTACCAAATTATCATTTTCAAAAACATATTTCCTTGACATATCGATAATTTTAAAGTTCCACCCTAATTTCCCCCATACTTGACAGGAGTGATATCCGAATTTATTTTTCACTACTGTCGGTAGTTGCAGATCTGTTGGCTCTTGGTGTCAAACCTATAGAGCAGGTACCGATTTTTTCAAATCGTGAGTACATTATTCGTCGGATTTTCGTTGCTTAAATTTCCTGTAATTACTGGGATCAGAAGATTTTTAATAATAGAACGTGTTTCACTGATTTCAACCCCCCCTTTTTAAGCAGTACCATTTTTTTATGTCAATGATTAGGAACCCCTGAAACGTCAAAAACGGAGTTTCAGCAATTGTTACTTTTTCTTTTTTGCTTATAGCACCGTTGCCACTGGACTAAAACTACAAAGCTTTGGCATACTAGTAACCCCGTGTGGAACTTTCATAAAAATCCGAGCGGTAATTTCCAAGTTGATGGTGAGTGATACAGTTTTTCGTGATGTAGATGTCATATGACTTAAAAAAACATAACATCTCATTTTGGAAATTTTTCGCTATTACAATACTTTCTCGCCAATGGCGTGGGAAGTAAAACGGCTTTAAAATCGAGGAGTATCAGCGATCGCGATTTTGAGCACCTATTTGCAGAACGACTTATCTACGCGATATGATATGAAAAAGGCCACCAAATTATCTGAATACTTCCTTTCTTAGTCCGTACATTGCGCCGCAACGCTTGGGTTGGCAGCACGAAACAGTAGATAAAATTCGTCCAAAATACGATTTGTAGAAGTTTGCGCGCTTCGGAATTGACGCTTTATTTTCTGATATTTTTGGATGAAATTTTCACAGTGTGCTGAAAACAAAACCCCACATGGTGCTATAGAGCAACTTTTTCATTTTTTTCACTAGGTTTTTTTTAAAAAAATCGCGAAGTAGAACAAAAGAAGTGCGCACCTCAACCCATCATAAAATTTGGGTAAAAACAACATTTCAAAAAGTGTTCCTATAGCACCATTCTCAACATACTGTATGAGTTTCATTCAAAAATATTGAAAAAGTGTCAGTTTTGAAGCAGCTGAACCCTTGTAAATGGCTTGAAACTCATTGCGTCGGAGCCGCCTTAACAGACAATATAACAATGGCACTTGATAACCAAACAGCAGTAGCTCTCGTACTTCTTGATTTTACTAAAGCATTTGACACCATTAATCACTCACTTCTTGTGTCTAAATGCAGTTATTATGGATTTTCTGAAAAACCTCTTTCGTTTATTCAAATCTACCTTGAAAATTGGTATCAAAAAGTTAATCTAAATCAACAGTACTGTACCGAACAAAAAATTTGTTCTGGTGTATCACAGGAATCAGTCTTAGGACCCCTATTATTTTCATTATATATCTCAGATTTAGAAACAGAGGTAAAATCATGCAGCATACAATTTTTTGCAGACAATACTCAAATTTTCTAGTCATTTAGGAGTAATGACTTAGAAACAGCAAATAATAAAATTAATCAAGATCTTCCCAAATTGAAAAGTTCAGTAGTAGCCATAATCTTCGTTTGAACCCTTTGAAGACAAATATGTTGGTATACGCAAATAGAACAAAAAATAATACTTTAAAAAAGAACATAGACATACACCTAAAAGGTAATAAATTAGTTCCTGTGGATCATTCGAAGAACCTAGGTATTATAATGGATGATGACTTAAAAATTGTTGTACCTGTAAACTATCTAATTTCTCAGTGCTACGCTATTCTCAGAGTTTTATTTGCAAATGAGTCAATATCAGATAAATCTGCGAGAAAGCAATTGTGCGAATCTTTCTTATTTTCAAAGATATCGTATTGCTTAGTGGTTTACTATCCATATTGAGATATTATAACAAGCAATCGTATTCAAAGTATTATGAATACATGTTGCAGACTTGTAAATGGTCTCAGAAAGTATGATCATATATCGAATGCCATTAGTGAACTCAAATGAATGAAAATTGATAAAATGTATAAGTACCAGCTACTAAGGTTCTTTATTCAAAAACACCGTCATATTTAGTAAAAAAATTCATACGTAGAGGGAATATGCATGGCATTAATATTAGATATAGAGAGACTTTTTCATTTCCACGTCACAGCACATCTCTATTTCAGAATACATATATTTACAATGCGATCAAATCATATAATGCCTTAGTACGCAGTTTCAAAGAAAGCAATCTACCCAAATTCAAGAAAAAAGACAAAGAAGTTCTACTTGATCAGCAGCGAAATCTGTTGTAACCCATAAGTGGCCTCATATTTTCCTTATACCTTTACTTAGATTATACTTTATTCTGTCGTTATTGTATACATGTATTAATTTTCAACAAATTCTGTCTTTTTACATCTCGTATTGTTAAGGGGGTTAGATGGTAGAATAGATATATTATCTAAATCTGGCCTCCTGTACGAATATTACAAATAAAAGACGTTAATTATTATTATTATTATTATATTGACGAGCCAGTCTCTTTCTTGACATTACAACCGGATTTTTTTGGGAGATTCAGACATGATATTCCCTGCAGGCACTCCGCTATTGTTCGATAAATGGTTCTGCGCGAAATGTTTTCATTCTGGAATATTCGATAGATTTCAGCTTTGGGTGCCCACCCAACCAACTTGTAGATAATTTTTCTTATTTCTAATTTATCCGATATCGTAAAGCGAAAATAAATGAATATCAACTAACAGTAAAATAAATAAACAAACTTTTGTTTCCAAAGGTAACTCGATATTATTTTGTGACTGTTAAAATTAAAGCCAATGAATTTTGTGCCAAAACTTTACGTTATTGTTCGAATTTAAGTCAACACTGACATTTATTTATTCGTCTGTTTTCCAAGTGAAGGACTGCGGGATCAAGCGCTTAATATCAAAGATATTGTTAGATTTTTTTTAACATTATGTTGGAAAAGCGTGTGTGAAATGTATTACCGGAGTTGGTTGTACATAAA